CTTGCTGTTTCTGCCTGTTTCAAGTCTTTATGCTAGGCTAAGATATCTGGCTGCTAGCTGTGGCCTCATGAAAGTGGTATCAATTATCTCTTTCTTTTAGGCTTGATGACAAAAATCAGCGTAAACCGCAATTTTCATTTATTTATTTAAAGGGACAGTGCAGCTTAATCAACATTTTTGTTTATGTACCTGTGCTAACCAGCTGGGTAACCTTCAGCTGCAGTCCTTTAGCAAGATGTTTTGAAACCAGCGAGGTGATGATGAGGTGAAAATCTACAGATAAGAGATAACAAGACGCTGTAAAGTCAGCCACAAAATAAGCATTCTTAATGACACTACACAAGCCATGCAGAACAACAGGAAGCTGCACACAGCAACAGTAGTACAACAATACAGCAACAACATCCACTGCTGGGTACATGTAGCCATGCATGAAACATGACGCAACAAATCACAGCCAAGCAACACTGATTACAACCATTTTAATACACACAGACATGCAGAGCATTATCATGTTTAATGATATTTTATTGTAGTCACACATGAATCAGTTACTCCACTTATTCTACACTCAGACGCACACGTATACTCTTATTGTTACAGATATAAAAGAGTTTGCATGCTTAACTGTATGTGCATTGCAGTTATTTTCATACTTTAATCACACAGTTAATCGTGCATTCACTTGTTTTTTGTTGTTTTTTAACCTGTGGATAGACTCAAGAGTCAAATTGAAACTAAACCGTTTGATTGCACCTGCAGATTACTTTCGGTGGTCTTGGGTGTGCCGGATGACAGATGAAGTGTTTCCTCTTTCATCCATTTCTTTGTGGTCTATATAAGCCACAGCTTGGTACACCTACATTGGCTGTGGCACTATTTGTAATAGAAGTTATTTTCAATGCCTATAGAAATTAGGCGTTAACAATATTTAACATTCAATAGAACAGACAGCAGCCATGACTGAATGTGACAAATATATTTCTAGGTTTAAGCTTTTCAGCAACACTTGTTTTGATGTAGAAAAACAACAACAAAAACACTAAAACTAAGCTGTTAGTATGCTTTCAGTTGCGTCTATATGTCACAAGGCAGCAGGTTATATATACATCAGTCTACGAGTGTACACAGCTGCTGACTGGCATGGGAGAATAAGGGAGAATGGAGCGGAGAAAGAGTCATTATGTGTCTCCTCGTGGAAGAAGTGATTCTTCATGTGTAACGATGAAGGGTGAAGCTCAGTCAATCATCAGCCGCTCTGCCATTAATTCTGCCTGTTAGAGCGACAGAGATGGTTGGACAGATGAGAGGAGAGCATGATGGGAATATTTGGAGAGTTAGAGAAGCAGGAAAACTGGAGGAAGGCCAGATATAAACACGGGTAAAGGTCACATCACAATACGCTGGGGTTACCCTGTTTAGGGTGACATCAGCAGGATACATTATCCCTGAGTGATCATTTTTAGGTCTTCTCTCAGACTGCGCGTATGTGTGTGTGCATACAGAGTCCCTCTCATACCCCCGCTGCCCCAGAATGGTGATCTGTTAAAGGACAAACTGGCCGTTTTCTGTCTTTGACTCGCTTTGTGACTGATTGCATCAACAGGCTGTCATTGTTTCAAGTGGCTTGTCTCCTTCAGGGCATCTGAGGGGAGAGAAAAGAAAAATCCCCATCTTCCCTTCATTTGTCTCCATCGTCCTTTAAAGGAATAGTTTGACATTGTGGGAAACGCGCTTACTCACTTCCTTGCTGAGAGCAAGATGTGAATATTGATACCCGTCTCATGTCTGTGCGCTAAATATGAAGCCAAAGCCAGCAGCTGATTTAATGGACAGACATAGATAGGTTAGTTTTTACTGGAACACCCACAACATGTATATTTTTACACTGAGGGGGTAAAGAAAGTATTCCCTACCATGCTGAAGAGTTGCTGTGTGTCTTTCTGCATGTCAGATAAACTTAGAAATCCAGAGTTAAAGGGTATTTTTCAATCATGACCCTTCCCCATGTCACTAATAGGAACAACATTTTGTAATATTAGTTCAGTATTGAGCGAGAGCACTGCTCCTGCATTACCAGGCTGCAATGTAAACACTCAGGGTATGTTTGCACCATCGATTTGCATCCATTAAAGTGCTTGTTTTTGCCACTGACAGGCTCAAATTGTTATTTTAAGTGTTTGATAACATTATTAAAAGGATCCCTACAGACACAGACCTCTTTGTTAAAGAGCAAGATCCTTTTTGTTTAACCAGAAACAGCCCCAAAATCGCTACCTTCAAATCCACCAGACTCCGTTTAAATAAACAGTAATTTTATCATCTTTATACACACTTCATTCAGAGTCAACAGAGACAAAATGAAACCATTGGAAACCATCTTTTAACAACCACCATCTTTGTTCTGGTTGAAATTAGCCCTTAATTCACCCAGTTAGGTGTGACAATATGCTGGCTCTAAAATACAGTTTATTTACATGGAGTCTGGTGGGTTTGGTGATAGTGATTTTTAGGTTGTTTCTGGTTAAACACAAAGGATCTAACATTTTATCCAAACAATGTTTGACTGTATTAGTAAAAAACTTTTGAGCCTCCAAGGACCTGTAATTCTAAGGTTTCATATCCCTGTGTGATAACGTTGTAGTACATCGTCAAACACAGGCTAATGTCGTTGAGTAACGTTAGCACTGCTCTAATGTTTGAATGTATGGAATTCACTAAACCAGTCTATTACATCATAGTGTTCATAGCTGTAGGGTACTGATTAAAGCATAAATTTAATTATTCATATCTATTGTCAATGTAACAGCGTCTCTTATCTGAGTTTTAAGGTGAAGTCTATATTTAGGGGGCTTGGTGGCATCTAGCAGTAAAGTGCAGATTGCAGCCAGCTAGCACTACTGGCTATTATTCCTTTAGTGTTCATTGTTCAGGAGGTTGTTGGGAGCTGAATTATCCATAAAGGTCTCTTCCTCTCCAAAACAAACAGACCAAGCAATTAAAACTGCTAAAAACACTGAATAAAGCAATTTCACATTATAAATTAGTGCGTATGTAACGCTGCTCAGCAACTCGGAGATGGGCACCTTGTCCACAACATGCTATTGTGTGCTCACCCCTTTTCTCTCAATAGTTTATGTCTGCTCACCTCTTTCAAATCCTGATATTCAGGAGTTTACTGTGAGCCAAAGTATCTGCAGAGGTCTTTTCTTCTCCAAAACAAACTGACCAGGTAATTTAAACTGGTAAAAACACTGAATAATGCAGTTTCACACGTTACAAATCCATGTAACCTTGCTAAATGTGTGCTAATGTGTGGTCACCTTGTTTCTCCAATAACATAAGATCCAGACAATCAGGAGGTTTTCACCCGAAGCGTGATTCACCAGTAAGGTCTCTTCCTCTCCTAATCAAATGGTCTAGATGATTTAAAACTGCTAGAAACACTGAATACAGCAGTTTCACGTTACAAATCTGTGTTACTCCAGAACTGCTGATTGCAGTTGGGTTTCTTACTATGGTGGCTAATGCAAAAAGCTGAAAACGTGAAAACACAAATGGCCCTTTGTGGAGCCAGTGTTTTGTTTGTCCATTATGAGCTACTGTAGAAACATGATGGTGCCTGCTCCCTATGTAGATATAAACAGCCCATACCAAGGAAAAGAGAACACAAAAATTCTTATTTTCAGATCATTATACACCCAAGAAATCATACTTATAATATCTACTTACTGGTTGCTTTCCCCAGCATTTACTGGCTGGGGGAAAAGACTGTTTTCCCTTCTCCTGACTCCACATTCACCACACCCCCTAACTATAACTAGACACCAACTGTATCAAGGGGTATCTTCACTCGACAACACAGCAAATAAGCACATTTCCCAAATTTATTCATTTAACTTCATCTCACTGATTTGCACTAATTTTATCCAGCAAAGATGAAAAAGGAAAAAAAAATGTTAATTAATACATAGCTGTTACCCTGAGGTAAAACCACAAGCTCGCTAAGATGGAAGAAATGAAGATACATGATGAATAATAAAATCATGGTGGGAAATCTGAGGTCTGTCTCGTGTTTATTTAAAACTTAAGTCAAGTCCGGTCTTTCAAGCAGCACCAGTGGGTACATGTCTCTACAGCCTGATTTCACTGCAGTCCCAGCCTGTTTGATGGATCTGAGTAAAACTGCGGGGGGAGATTTAGAGAGACGGCGCAAAAGGAAACCAGCTGTGAGGCGTGCAGAGTTTATGAATGAAAACAGGAAGAATGGATTGAGACAGAGTTGGATGGAGAGAGACAGGAAAACAAGCATCTGTATGAGATGTAAATATTGGGCCGGTGGGTTGACACAAGTTTGACAGAAACAGCCGGAATCTGAAGACACTCACTTAATCACACACACAGATGGAGAGGAGTGTAATGTTTAACCACAATAAAATTAATGTTTCTCTCTGCATGTGTATCTTTCACTGATTTATCAGCCTCCCCTGTGCAGTCTATATTGTATACTCATGGAGGATTTCCAGTAATAGAGAAAAGAATAGGAGAGCATTTGTAAATAATAGCCCTGCCAAACTAATGCAGTCTGGACATATGAACAAACTTAAACTCTCAGCATGGAGAAGTTACCATCTCTAACTTCAGCTACACTCTCCACAAAGTAAAAAAGGTCATTTGGGAAAGGTACATATGGATTTTATTACAGTCCCTACATGTTTCCACTTATTCTTTGCCTTTCCTTTTATCTCTGCGAGGATCTTTGTCTAAATCTTTAAAGCAGTCTGGTTTTGTAGAGTGTCTCTGTCAGAGTGAATGTTTTATGAGCTGTGGGCTGCTGGAGAGGATCTGTCTTCTTTTATCTCCTCTGTTTCCTGCAGTTTTCACTCAGTATATTTTTCACCATTGTTCCACCATATTGTTGCTGTTTCAGGAGATTGAACGTCCCACGCTACATATATTCTCTCCCAAATTGTCTCTGAGTTTGTGCTGTCTTTCACCAGGCAGCTGTTGGCCCCTGGATATCAAGAAATATGGTACACTCCCGATGGAGCCCGCAAGTCCTCCTCTCCTGCCAGCACTGTAAGTCTATGAGACAGTTTGATGTTGTTAAACTGCCGTGGGGAGTTGTAAATGATCATAGAAGAGAAATAGATATTGATGTAGTGGATCAAATCCTGATCAAATGGCAGAAGGACAACAGGCAGTATGGACATCAAGTACTACATTTGTTACTTACATAAGAGGGTCCTCTGGTTGAGTGATGTCTCTGTTATTATTGCATCACCCTGTTTCCCAACATAGAAAGCTGTGTGTTGAGCTTTAACACTCTGAGACCCACCAGACCCAACAGTATATACCACAAAGAAGTGACATACATTATCTGAAAGCAAGTGAACCTGAAGATTAATTTGAGATGCAGCTCAGCTCTGTCTGTCAAGTTTTTCTAGTCATGAATATGTAATTAACATTAGCCCATTTTACACACAGATCACGCTATAGGGCCACTATGAAGTCCCTTCTTTTTGCCTCCTTTGCATTTTTACACAGGACCAAACAATGATGGCATCATGCCGTTCCAGTGTCTAGTTTTAAACAGCATGCTGGCATAGCAGAATCAAAAGAGGCGTTACGGGCATGACATGTAACACAACAGTGTCAGCCTTTAGCATGAAATTTAACATATGCGTCAGCAGCACTTTATAAACAATAACAATGGCATTAACATGGCAACGACAATCATTTACCATCCCTGTTATATAGCAGCTGATCCCATCCTCTGCTCAGAGGGTAAGGAGATCCCGGACCTCATTGTTTTCCCAATTTGCAGACATTTTTGGTCACTGTTATTCTTCTTTTCAGTTAGTTACTACCTGCTACCGCCTACTTTTTAAATCTACTGCGGTGGGTTGTACGCATAACATACTGTCTAAATGTCATACCCACACTGCCCATGATCCTGTCCTGCCAACTGTCCTGTTTATACAGACATTGTTTCAGCACTGTTAGTACCTCCAACTACCTCCTGTCCCCTTATTCCACGATTGTACCTTTTATACATAACAGCGTGGCTGCGTAACAGCATGAAATTCCCGCCTTGAAGAGGCAGTGTAAAAGGGGCTATTGTGTTTTGGTTAGGCTCCTATTCAAACCTTTAAAGTTTAGAGTGTTTAAGGGCTTAAAAAATTATGATGGAAGTGTATTATGTCCATTCCCATGCTGAATTATGCCTCATTAGTTGTTGCAGCAATTTTTGGGTGGATACCAATTTTTAAACAGATTTGGTGCTAAATGAAAGCATTGAGAAAGATGGTCAAAATACCACAGAAAGATTCATGCTGTGATTTGGTACCAAAAACTTGATGTTTTGACGTTTGGAGATTTCTGTAGCAATAGCATTTTTTTCATAATCGAATGGTGAGCACTGTTGTTCTGGAAACTGCTCCCCTGATATTCAGTATACATATGAAAGCCATACATCCTCTGAATGCCCAAGGTCTCTAGTTTTTGGTTGCAAAGTTTCATGAGGCTCTGAATATCCCAGAGGTCACTATAGGTCATTTTATAAAGTGATGTCTGTGTAAAGAAATGGTCTCACTACAATGAAATGACTACTTGGGTAGCTGACATCATCACACATGAATGAAAGCGAGCTCAGTGAATTCACAAGAGTCTTGACTTTTCAGTCATGGCCATTTTATACAATTCCAAGTCTGTTCAGGGACTCCAGTATGTAGAAATATTCAAATACAATAGGCGAGAATAACACATTTGTACTGAATGCAAAAGGCTGCATAGTTTTTGCCCAAAACTGCATGCAATTAGCATAAAGTGAGCATATCTGTAAAGGGGAGACTTTTCATTCAGATGTCTTGAGACGAGAGGTCAAGAGACCCCTTTGAAATTGGCCAAGCCAGCTTTTCCCTCCCCAAAATTTAGTCTAATTTTGCAGCATTATTCAGCCTCCTTCGCAACAAGCTAACATGGCACAGTTGGTACCAGTGGATTCCTCTGGTCTTCTTGCAGCCTGCTACAGCCTCTTAAAGACAGTAATCTCGGCTGAGATCACCGGCAGGTGCGCGGGTCTCTAAAGGTTAACTGTTTTTGTCTTGCAGGGACACTGTTTCTACCATGGGGAGGTTCTGGGCATGGAAGGCTCAAGTGTTGTTGTTAGCACATGCTCAGGACTCAGGTAAGTAAAACTTTATCACGGGCTGTATGCGTCAAGTTTCCCAATATTTAGAGTTAGTCCCAATGGTGAAAGACATTTCATAGGATCCTAAGAACTCTCCCATAAGACTTAATCCCACTAAAAGTAAAAAGCTGTTCATGAAGACAGCTCCTAAAGTTAAGAGCAGGGAAGAGGACTTTTCTGTAGCCTCGGAGTTTCTGCAGCAAAGCAGTAAAGAGCTGCAAGAAGTGGAGCCAAGAGAAAAGTTTTCCCAATGCTCAAAAACAGGGAGTTAGTGCTGCAGATCGTGTCGGGGTGATATTTGTGATTGATCATATAAAAATAGGTTGGCAGCACTCACTCAGTGAATGAAAGCTTTCAGCTCCATTAATGCTAATTTTACAGCCTTGTTTTCCAGCTGACGTGTAAACATCTTGGGCCAACAAAACAGAATTAATGGATACATAGCAATTTCCCCACTGTCTTCTAAGTAATTGATACATTACCCGTCTACATAACATACAGTAATATGTTTGTTCAACATTTCCTATTTGGTAGACTTGCCAGAACGGACGAGGAAATTTGTCAAAATGTTTGGGCCATTTTCACAGCATTCGACATCACTACTTACCCTGTCTTCCACATGCAGAGATGTGATAAGCTGATTGAAACCTGGTTACACTTACACTTGGCCAAGAAATCACCTTTTTTGGGAGTATCTCCTTCTCCAGTTACACTAACAGTTTTCTCCAATGCACAACATTTAAGAAATCAGGTTATTGCAGAAACGTGAAAGTTATCCAGTTATATAAATACAAATGCACTGGTTGCCATTATGGCTACACGATTATCATAGCTAAATGAGTGCAGGATAACAATATTATCATGACATCACAGAGTTTGCATGTTCTCCCCATGTCAGCGTGGGTTTTCTCCGGGTACTCCGGCTTCCTCCCACAGTCCAAAGACATGCAGGTTAATTGGTGACTCTAAATTGCCCGTAGGTGTGAATGTAAGTGTGAATGGTCTCTATGTCTGTCTCTATGTGTCAGCCCTGTGATAGTCTGACAACCTGTCCAGGGTGTACCCTGCCTCTTGCCTAATGTCAGTTGGAATAGGCCCCAGCCCCCCTGTGACCCCCAATAGGATAAGTGGTTATGGAAAATAAGTGATTGAATCCATAGAAAATTTGACAAAAAATGCCACAGTCAAATTCATCTGTAACCTTGTTTATGGTGCATTTTGTCTCTTTTTGGCGAATGAATTACACTTACAACACAAGTTTAGGGATGTGCGAAGGAGTCTGTTTACATAACTGCACAAAATTGCAAAAAAAGATCGGTAATGCTTAATGGATAGCGAAAAGGCAACCAGGTGCATGTAAAGAAACAGAAATTATCTGCAATATTTACATGATATTACGTGTATTGTTAACAAGATATCAATATTTCATTTTTACGTGTCATTAATATCATCAATTGTAGTATATAACAACACCCCTAGCTGCCATATTAAGATCCAAACAAAAAATTGCATGCATCAGGTCAGCTTCATCTCCTCTCCTGAGGTGGGAATCCTTACTAAGAACTCTAAGACTAAGATAAGAGGTCTCAGAGAGAATCCTCACATTGTTTGTGGACATGATTAATCTGATCTGTAGATAAGAAGAACCCTGCACAACTGTCCAGCCTGTGTTCAAACTATGGCTGAGTGGGTAAGGTGACAGGAAACAGTTGTGTGTACTGTCTTGTGCAGTCTAGTAGGTTAGTAGGTCACTGGCTCCAGAGCTGGTTCATTGAGTACAGCTCACTATGGAGATCCTGTAGTTTCCTCCTGGTGTGGATCCAAGGCAGCTGACCCTTCCTGCTAGAGACAATCAGAGAGGCCGGGACAGAGGAGGAACTGGCAAGCAGTGACAGAAATCGTAGCCTTTCGTGTGTTTTTGTGGGTTCAGTGCTCTGCATGTGGAGGATGAGTGAATGAATACATCTTTCTGCTGATGAAGATTCTCAGGAGAAATGCAAACACAGCCTAGAGGCACACTGACATGTGGGTGTGTGACCTCTCCAGATGTTTTCTACAGCTGCTTGACCGGCGCCTGTGTGCATGCTTTTGTGTTTGTATATGAACGTCTGCGCTTATTGGGGGTTTTGTGAAGAAGCCCAAAGACTGCATGTCGCTCTGTCTGCCCCAGCTGATCTTCACTTATCAACAGCAGTAAATCACATGAGACACTTGGCTGTACTCCGCCCATCCGTAAAACCACCACAGCCAAATAAAAGAATCCCAATCTGACATGCAGCCATTTATATGTTACCCACGCCTCAGTCTGACAGTGACTGTTGGAAATTACCTTTAATCTTATCTTTTAAGATTCAGAAGGACGGTTGTTTTCACAGTGTGCAGATAGACAGACAGCAACAGCATTGACCCACATCAATTTTCTCGTGCTATGATTGGATGGAACCATCAGCAGTGTCTTGTTTTCCCAGGGGACTGATTTCTCTGAACACAAGCGTCAGCTACCTGATAGAGCCTCTTCTTGTTTCCACGGGCGCACAGCAGCACGCTGTGTTCAGAGCCGAGAGTCTCCATCTACCCAGAGGCAGCTGCCTGCATCACCATGGCAACAAGAAGCACGAGGAAGGCCTTGACGACTTCATCCGTGGAATGATGTCACCGCAGAGCGTGAGGGTGAGTTGGGGCAAGAATGATGATCAATGTCTGAAAGCCTTTGCAAGTTTTATGCAAAGCATGACACTATTTTCACCACATATTCTGTATTTTATTATTCTGTCTTTATTCTCAGGAAAAAAGGGACCTGAGCCAGAATATGAAGTACGTAGAGCTGCTGATAGTGGCAGACAAAGCTGAGGTGAGGTCACAGCTGCAAATATGGGCATACTTGGTCACTTTTTAACCAAATAGGGACATTTTTTAATGACATGATTAAATGTGGAAGTACAGGATGTGGCTTTGTATGTGAAATGAGCTCAAAGACATTGCCCATAGTTGGTGTGAATGTGAGCATGAATCATTGTCTGTCTTTATGTGTGAGCCCGGCTGGCGATCTGTGCAGGGTCTACATCATGTAGAGCTAGGTATGGTAAGTGTAGAGTGCTGATTCAAACCCTGAAGTCTGAAATCCCCTTTTGTGGTTAGAGAAGATGTAAGAAAGAAAAAAAACATAAACGTTGGTGTGTCTATTTCTGTGTTTAATGTGGTTTATGTCGTTTGCAGTTTGAGAAGCATGGTAGCAATTTCGAGAACACTAAACGGAAATTACTGGAAGCGGCCAACCTGGTTGACAAGGTAATATTCAAAGTGAATCATGACAAGCACAAAATGACACTCAATTTCATCTCACCTAGATTTAGTAGTGACTGTGTTTGCGACTTTTCCTGCCCACACCCGCAGTACTACAAGGCTTTGAGCATCCGTGTGGCTTTGATCGGTCTGGAGGTGTGGACCAGCAAGGACATGATCAGCGTTTCAGACAACCCTCACAGCACTCTGGCGGCGTTCCTGTCCTGGAGAGGCAAACAGCTCCGCACGCTCCCCAATGACAACGCTCAGCTCATCACGTCAGTGTCTCACTCTCTGTCTCCCTCTAATCTTCCTGTTTGTCATTCGTCACCCTCTTCAACACTAGTGTACCCCCCCTCAGCTCTAAGCCTCCAGTCCCGCAGGGCAATTGATTTTATGTTCATTACATGAGACAACAACCATCACCAGTTGTATCCCAGTGGGCAGTTGTCCAGATGAAACTAATCACCAGTGGCGTTTTATGTCTCCAGGGGGAAAGGGTTCCAGGGCACCACCATCGGGCTGGCACCTCTCAGAGCCATGTGCTCCGACTACCAGTCTGGGGGAGTGAACACGGTGAGAGACAAGAGTCCAAACAAACAGTAATCCTCTCCATGTGAGTGAACGTCTCGATGGGTGTAGCTCAAGTGGTACAACGGGTCGGCCAGTGACTGTAGCATTGGTAGTTTAATCTCCATCTCCTCCTCTCCATGTGTCGAACTGCCCTTGAGCAAGACACCAAACCCCAAACAATGTGCTCAATGTGGAGTAAAAAATGTAATGGCCAATCCTCAATTAGTTTTCAACTTGTGACTTATCAAAAATAACTTGCTCTGTGTTTAAAATTTAGATTTTGTTTCTTGTACAAACAAAAAGATGATCCAATAAAGCTCTTACAGTGAAGTTTAAATTATTTTAGGTTAGTATAACACCAGCTTGTATCCAGTGATGACAGTGTCTCCAAAATGCAATGAGAAATCTATAGCATGATATATATTTTTACCTATGTCCCTAAAATATGGACTTTTTCTACTGATCATTAGGTAAACTTTGACTCTTCTTTTGAATAGGACCACTCAGAGTCAGCTGTGGGTGTAGCTGCCACCATGGCACACGAGATGGGCCACAACTTCGGCATGAGTCACGACAGTACAGGCTGCTGCCAGGCAAAGGCTGAAGACGGAGGTTGTATCATGGCTGCTGCTACTGGGTATGATATGGAATAAATTATTAAACTAACAGAAAAGAGAAAAGCAGAGAAACAAGTCTTACATACTATATTTGTGCTTCTTCCTCACCACGCCACAGGCATCCATTTCCCCGTGTGTTCAATGCCTGTAACCTGAAGGAGCTGAAGAGCTACCTGAGCTCTGGAGGAGGGAAGTGTCTCTTCAACTTGCCAAATACCAGATCCATGTATGGGGGGCAGCGCTGCGGCAACGGTTACCTGGAGGATGGAGAAGAATGTGACTGTGGAGAGGAAGAGGTGCGTTGTGTCTCTTGAATTTTGCAGTATATATTTTTCTCGTATGTCTCTGCCAGGACTCATGACTCTTTGCTTTTTGTGTAGGAGTGTACCAGTCCCTGCTGTAATGCCAACAACTGCACTCTGAAAGCTGGAGCTGAGTGTGCCCATGGCGTCTGCTGCGATAACTGCAAGGTAACATTAGAATCTGATGGTCTTCTAAACAAATAAACACAAAAACCCTCCCATGAATGATGTGTCCCCCCGGGTTAATTCTCACTACTAGATGAACAGAAATTGAATTATAGCTCTACAATAATTATTTCTTCATGTCTCTTTTCATCCTCCCGTGTTTCCTAAACTCCTCTTCCTCCTCTTCATCTCTCTGTCTAGTTGAAGAGACCAGGTGAGCTGTGTCGTGCTGCCTCGGGGTCATGTGACCTGCCAGAGTACTGCGATGGGAAGGCAGAGTCTTGCCCTGCTAATTTCTACTTAGTGGATGGTATATCTTGTGCAGGCGGGCAGGCCTACTGTTACACCGGCATGTGTCTGACCCTGGAGCAGCAGTGTCGCTCTCTCTGGGGACGAGGTGGGTAAACTGGGTGCTTCTAATGTGTGATATTCATCGGTATTTTGTTCCAAATGAGTTATATCATCTGTTTTGATCACATGCACAAACACTTGGTTTCCACTTTATTGGACGCATTTAGCTACACCTAATGCAGTCTAATACCTCTATTTATAACACGAGCTTAAAGTAGTACTGAATAGTCAATAGTGTCTCAGTTATCTTTGCTAATTAAGATAACTTCTTGACTCAATATTTTGTAAAATTGGAGATTAGCAATCCTTAATCTATCCTGACAATGTGTGACACCAACACTGAGTGGTTGTATTTACTGTAGTTTGTAAAAGATTAAAGGGGAACAACAGCCATTTTTCAGAAAGCTGATATTATTCTGGAGGCTATGGAACATGATGGAAAAAATACTGCATCCTGCTCATGTACTCGCATGTTGCAAGGGTACTTTGGGAAACCACGAGGTGGTAGCGCCATTACAAGAAGTGGTAACTGCCTGCCAGTGGAGGCATGAAGAGCGTACAATTTCAACATTTGCAATATAAATTAACATGCAGTCACTTTCTGAATCTATTTCATGTTAACACTAAACACTAATAAGACAGGGAAACTGTGTCATACCTTTATAACTTCTGTCGTGCTCCAGTATTAATGTAGGAATTCATTGGAACAGAGCAGCTAGCTTTTAGTTTCCACAGTCAGGAACAGCTCACCAGTAAGGCATCTTGAACTTTTCATATCCATGCTCTACTTGGTCAACAAAAGTTAATACTGTATTTCTGAAATTAGATATGGCTAATGCTATCTTTCTACCTAATTAGTTGGTGTTGTGGCAGAAGTGAAAAAATAAAGAGTGAAACAATCAGGTTTTCTTTGTGTTATTTACTAAAATGATAGAGCAGAATAATAAGAGTTATAACAGAGCCAGTCTACTCCAGCTGTAGGGTCAGAGCTCTGACACCTTGAGTGTCCTCTATAGGTCTGACAAGGAATCATAGATTCAGTCGCATGATATCATTAAAACTTGAAAAAAAGGTAGGCAAAGGGAGGCCTCCATTTAACTGATAACTGTCATGAGAACAGCCACAAAGGAAGCTTTTTATGCACAAATGAAAACTCTCCAAGGACTCAGTTTACGTCAGGTATAATGAAGCCTTATACACATAAGGAAGCAGAATATTACATGTCTATATATAGTAATGATTAATTTTGTTCCTACACTAGCTACCACAATATATATGCTGGGCCTGTGACCAGCTGCTAGCCACAATTCTCCTGTAAGTGTCATATGATGGCTGTCGCATCATGTGCTGAAATCCTGTCATGGATTTCTCCTTTCCAGTGGACAGAACTAGTGCAAACCATGACTGGAAGATGAAGGAAGTCAGAAAGGTTTGATACAGTGTTTATTGTAAACATAAAATAGATTCAGAAAGTGACAACATGTTTATTTATATTGCAAATGTTGTCTACACTCCATTAATTTTGTCACTGGCAGGCATTTATTGTTTCCTGTGATGGAGCTAGTGGTTTCCCGGCCCACCCTTTCAATCAAAGACTGTAAAAGTAATGGATTTAGCTACAGTGACGTCAGCCATTGGTTTGCGAACTCCTGTTCTGAAAGCTCAAGTTTGGCATTTTGGTAGTCGCCATCTTAGTGTTTTGGAGCCAGAAGTGGAGGCTGGAGATGTGGAGCAGCGAGGGGTGGATCTGACTGAGAAGTCAAGGACACTATCAGCAGATGGCCTGTCACTCAAAGCGGCCTGCCCATAAATTTGCGCATCTTTAAGCCTTAATAAAATGTAAACAGGTGACTTATATAAATATTCACCCTGTGTAGTTGTCATCAATGTTTAAATTAGAGATAGAGACCACAGCTGTATACATACCAGGCTGTGAACATCTTTATTTCTGCTGTTAAGTTGTGCATTTTAACATGGGTGTCTTTAGGGACTGACTCGCTTTTGGAGAAAGCCTCAAGTGGCCGTTCAAAGAACTGCAGTTCAGCCTGCACGTTGGCTTTATTTTTAAGCTTGCTGCTTGCCTGCAATATGCATGTGCCTGAGCAGGTTGCACTATTTTCCATCATGTTATATAGCCTCCAGAATAATATCAAATTTTGTAAATGGCCTTGTTCCCCTTTAAATTGGATTTTTAATGTGCAATACTGACATTACATTATATTTTGAATTGAATGAAGGAACTCCCTAAAGGATAATCTAATTCTCGACTCTATTCTTCCTTTGTTTTTAATGCCATGATGGGATAATAAAAGCTTTAATGAGATAATAAGTTTAAATGTCGCCTAACTCTCAACTATTGCTTATGTGTGTATGTGCAATATTTCAATCATCAAACAATCTCATGGTGTATCTTCAAAGCAGTTAAACATCCTGTGTATGTTGAAGCAGAGAGGGTGGGTAGATTTAGAGATGAGTCCTCAGTGGGTCGCAGGATTAGCCATTGTTATTGGACAGTGTCCATATTCACGTTGTGACAGAGCCTCCCCAGAGAGCCTTTGTAGTACCACAGGAGCCACACAGAACAGTAAGGAATGCCATCTGGTCTCCATCAGGTGGTCACATAACACACTGTGCATGCATTTACTGCGTGTATGTGTGTGTATTATTGTGTGCGTATGTGCATCTGTATTCATGTATTTTTGTGTATTTTCTCTCCTTCGGCCACAGATGGCCGCCCAGCCCCTGACCTGTGTTTTAAGAAGGTAAATGAGGCCGGGGACATGTACGGCAACTGTGGCAAAGACCTGTTTGGAAAGTACAGGAGCTGTAAGGACAAGTAAGGATAAAACATATTGGTTCATTCACTCACTCAGTTTAAGGAGGGGATCTACACTTCCTGAGAGTGATCAGTATCAACACACTGATGATACCCTTTTTTATCATCTCTGCCAGGGATGCTCAATGTGGGAAAATCCAGTGTTTAACTTCAGCCTCCAAGCCCATTGAGAACAATGCTGTTCGCATAGAAACCACTGTCAGTTTTGGCAACAAGAAGATCCAGTGTATGGGAACACATGTGTACAAGCCTGGGCAGGGGGACGAGGAGGGACAGGGTGACACTCTGGACCCAGGCCTTGTCATGACAGGCACAAAGTGTGGTGATCACTCGGTGAGTGTGAATGTGTGAAGATATGCTAAGTGGAATTTGTTGTTGTAGCAAAGAGCGTGCTATAGATCTTTCTTTGAGACGTCTTAAGGAACCACTCGATTCTCTAACCCCTCTCTCTCCTTGAACCCCTCCTTCTCTCAACAGATTTGCTTTAATGGAGAATGCCGCAATGCATCTTTCCTTAGAGCCGATGAGTGCAATGCCAAGTGCCACGGACATGGGGTAGGGTTCTTTATGAGATGGATTTCCTAGGAGTGCTAGGGAAGATCTGGCTGCTAGCCCACTGTTATGAAAAGATGGCAAACTTGGCAGTGGTGCAAAAGGATTCAGATCTTTACCTTAATTAAAAGTAGCAATTAAGCAAAGTAAAAATCCTCCAGTACAAGTGGAAGTCATGCATTTTAAATTTTATTTAAAGGGGCAGTTCACCCTAAAATCAAAACTACATGTTTCCTATTACCAGTAGTGCTATTAGATTGTTTTGGTGCAAGTTGCCGAGTGTTGGAGATATAGGCCATAGAGATGTCTGCCTTCTCTCCAATATAATGACACTAGATGTTGCTCGGCTTTTGGGGCTTAAAGCTCCAAAAAAAGAAAGGAAACACTCAACATCAGTGTCTCTTTCGATAAATCTTGTTCTGGTTTGACAAGATAATCCACAGACCTTGTTGTGAGCAGTTTCATGTAGGAACTATTTTCTTTCTACCAAACTACACCAGCCAACCACATCACCGAGCAGAATGAAGCGTGCATCTACTCAGGGACAAGAAACTCGTGCTCATCACACCACGAGATGTAAACATTAATGGCATCCTCCTTGGCTGAGCTGTAACGTTAGCTAGCTCAGTGGTGCTATACGAGCTAGCAGCAGATATACACTTGATGGAGTTCGGTAGAAAGAAAATAGTTCCTACATGAAGCTGCTCACAGCAAGGTCTGTGGATTATCTTGAGTAACTGGGTCATGATTTCTGGAAAGAGACATTGCAGAGTGTATCTAGTTTCATTATATTCGAAAGGAGGCAGACATCTCTACGGCCGATATCTCCATCTCTCTGAATCGCACCAAAACAATATAATGCTTGTTAAGTATTAGTGTTATCAGCAAAATGTACACAAAGTATAAAGTCTTTAGTCTGATTTTGAAGTACTTCCATAGTCCTAAAGTGTCATTTGCTCCTCTAGCTGCATGTCGATGCAATGAATATAACCATTATGTTGTAATTTTAATGTGTAATATGTTCTTTCACCAGTTGTGCAACAACAATCATAACTGCCACTGTGACGCGGGCTGGGCTCCTCCTCTGTGTGACAAGAAGGGGTCGGGTGGGAGTGTGGACAGTGGACCTGTCATCAGCCAGAGTGAGATACATTATTTTTAAAACATACAACTGTGTGTTTCATATATTGACAATTCAAGATATTTCTTTGAATTTATGCAGCTCTCTGACTGTAGTTTATTTTATATTCCAACAGGCAGTCTCCTTCCGGTCCTGCTGGTCCTCCCCCTGGTTCTCTTTGTAGTTTTGGCTGCTGTTGCACTCTGGTGCTGCTACAAACATAAACTCCACCCACTGAAAACATCTGCTACACTTCCGGTGCCAACGTATGTAACTCTGAAACAGGGCTGGGTGATACGGCGAATATCAAATATTACAATATTTTTACAGAATACCTCGATTTTTATATTGCAACCATATTGTAGGGTTGGCTGTTGATGCTTTCACAAAATATTTACACAATGAGATTTTTGATATGTAATCATTAGTAATCAGATACAGTTGGAACAGACTGCTAGGTTCAGAAAATTACATCTCTTTACTGTAATGCAGCCTTTAAAACCAGGACACAACACTTGTATATCCCGATATCCAAAATCTAAGACGATGTCTAGTGTCATATCACAGTATCCATATCATACTGATACACTGCCCAGCTCTATTCTGGAGTGTAAAATGCTATTACTCCACATATACAGTACAGGCCAAAAGTTTGGACACACCTTCTCATTCAATGCGTTTTCTTTATTTTCATGACTATTTACATTGTAGATTTTCACTGAAGGCATCAAAACTATGAATGAACACATGTGGAGTTATGTACTTAACAAAAAAAGGTGAAATAACTGAAAACATGTTTTATATTCTAGTTTCTTCAAAATAACCACCCTTTGCTCTGATTACTGCTTTGCACACTCTTGGCATTCTCTCCATGAGCTTCAAGAGGTAGTCACCTGAAATGGTTTCCACTTCACAGGTGTGCCTTATCAGGGTTAATTAGTGGAATTTCTTGCTTTATCAATTCACTCTGCGGTCCAGCTCACCCCAAACCATCTCGATTGGGTTCAGGTCCGGTGACTGTGGAGGCCAGGTCATCTGCCGCAGCACTCCATCACTCTCCTTCTTGGTCAAATAGCCCTTACACAGCCTGGAGGTGTGTTTGGGGTCATTGTCCTGTTGAAAAATAAATGATCGTCCAACTAAACGCAAACCGGATGGGATGGCATGTCGCTGCAGGATGCTGTGGTAGCCATGCTGGTTCAGTGTGCCTTCAATTTTGAATAAATCCCCAACAGTGTCACCAGCAAAACACCCCCACACCATCACACCTCCTCCTCCATGCTTCACAGTGGGAACCAGGCATGTGGAATCCATCCGTTCACCTTTTCTGCGTCTCACAAAGACACGGCGGTTGGAACCAAAGATCTCAAATTTGGACTCATCAGACCAAAGCACAGATTTCCACTGGTCTAATGTCCATTCCTTGTGTTTCTTGGCCCAAACAAATCTCTTCTGCTTGTTGCCTCTCCTTAGCAGTGGTTTCCTAGCAGCTATTTGACCATGAAGGCCTGATTGGCGCAGTCTCCTCTTAACAGTTGTTCTAGAGATGGGTCTGCTGCTAGAACTCTGTGTGGCATTCATCTGGTCTCTGATCTGAGCTGCTGTTAACTTGCGATTTCTGAGGCTGGTGACTCGGATGAACTTATCCTCAGAAGCAGAGGTGACTCTTGGTCTTCCTTTCCTGGGTCGGTCCTCATGTGTGCCAGTTTCGTTGTAGCGCTTGATGGTTTTTGCGACTCCACTTGGGGACACATTTAAAGTTTTTGCAATTTTCCGGACTGACTGACCTTCATTTCTTAAAGTAATGATGGCCACTCGTTTTTCTTTAGTTAGCTGATTGGTTCTTGCCATAATATGAATTTTAACAGTTGTCCAATAGGGCTGTCGGCTGTGTATTAACCTGACTTCTGCACAACACAACTGATGGTCCCAACCCCATTGATAAAGCAAGAAATTCCACTAATTAACCCTGATAAGGCACACCTGTGAAGTGGAAACCATTTCAGGTGACTACCTCTTGAAGCTCATGGAGAGAATGCCAAGAGTGTGCAAAGCAGTAATCAGAGCAAAGGGTGGCTATTTTGAAGAAACTAGAATATAAAACATGTTTTCAGTTATTTCACCTTTTTTTGTTAAGTACATAACTCCACATGTGTTCATTCATAGTTTTGATGCCTTCAGTGAGAATCTACAATGTAAATAGTCATGAAAATAAAGAAAACGCATTGAATGAGAAGGTGTGTCCAAACTTTTGGCCTGTACTGTATAGTGAGCAGCAGTTTGCCACGGATGTACTTTTGCTGTAGTCTCTATGTTGTCTTGATTTCGAAATGATCTGTACTTTTATATTTGTGTTTCACCCCTCAGCTGTTCAGTCCCAGTTGACAACAAGCCGCTGTTTGCCGACGGTCATGTGAACGGCCATGCCAACCCGACATTCTTACTAAAAAAACAGGACCCAGATCACCTGGTAAAGAAGCCCATTGTGACCAATACTCTGATTCTCTATTGTCTGTGATTATTAGATAAACCACTAAACGTATGGTAATGGTTGCATTCTTCCACAGGGGAAATCCTCTCCTCGTCCGAGCCCATCTTGCTCAACTCGGTCCAGAAACGCCATTGTGCGTCCAGCTGTGAAGCCTCCTCCCGTACCTGCGTATGCTGCAGAGCAGACGCCTCAGTCTGTAGCTTCCTCTCAGAGACAGTACTCTCCTCAGGGTTACACTCCACCTCCCGTTAAATCTGCGCAGTTCAGCCAACAGAGACGAACCCAGGCTCCTCCACCACCCTCAGGACCTCCACCTTTACCTTCCCTGCATGCCAAACCCAACTCACAGCATTCAGCAGTACCCAAACCCCGACCAGACCCTCCAAGCAGACCTCCACCACCATGCCCTCTTAACAGGCCATCAGGGGTGAGTTTTTTGTTTGTTTGTTTGTTTGTTTGTTTGTTTGTTTTGGAGTAAAGTAGTGAACTGAATGTGAAATCTGTGACTTGTCATTTTGATGTAGGAACAGCAACAAATGAAAGGCCCTCAGGTTAACGCCAATGCTCTGCAAAGAGGAAAAGCTGCTTTGGCTCCATCTGCTGGACAGAAAAAGCCAAACAGGTAATTCATCTGGTGGCGTTCTCTAATGTCCATCTATACAGACTCCTCGTTAACTTCCCTCTTCTTTGCTTCTTTTAGAAACTAAAAACTCAGGGAACCGTTGGGGACCAACACTTAAAGGACTGTCTCAGGCTGTCTTTTTGAATATCAGCAGCTGACAAGAAAATGTGGCAGTATGGGATATGATGAATACTTGACACTCCGGGTCTGTGGATTACAGTGTGTTTACACTGATGTGTACTGAGAGAAAGTGGTAGAGTCACAGCAAGTCATAGTACATATCACAATGTGTATGTTTTAAGTCTTAAATCTTCAAGATTTAGACTGAAAGCCACAGTTGGTACCTTTTATGAAAATAACTTTTTGCCATATTTACTGAAACTCTCACTACGTCCACGAAGTATTGAACAAGACGGGTAGTGTGTGAAATAATAAAGTTTGTGACCCAGCTGCCATGTTGTTGGAGATAGTCAAGTGATGCACCGAGCACCACCTGGCTGCAGCAACTTTCTCATTTTACAGCTAAACAGCACACAAAAATATGTTTCTGAAATATTTTAGGCAAGAAATAGGCAACGCAGTAACAAAATTTTGATTCATATTTGATCAACGCTGCCTAGTTTGACAGGCACCCGGGTACCCGTGAATTTTGTCATATGGATCACTGTAAATTATTCTGCTGATCTGTTCTGTACGACATCTATTGCACAACTGTCCGTCCTGGAAGAGGGATCCCTCCTCAGTTGCTCTTCCTGAGGTTTCTACCATTTTCTTTCCCTTTAAAGGGTTTTTTGGGGGAGTTTTTCCTTATCCGCTGTGAGGGTCCAAGGGCAGAGGGATGTCGTATGCTGTAAGCCCTCTGAGGCAAATTCTGATTTGTGATATTGGCAAAAAGCTATGTTTATAAAAGTTACCAACTACAGTGTGAATCTGTGTTGTGTAAATTTGCCCTACGTGTCTGCTTTCACAACTTGAAACAGCGAATGTTGTGGATTAAAAAACATTTTGTTATTATTGTCCCAAAAGTTAATGGAAATGTGAAATTGTTCCATGTGTGCAGCGGTGTTTAAACACTGGTACAGGAGTATTTAATCGCAAAGAAAAAAAAATGAATGTTTACAGTGTAGCCTGTGTACTAAACATGGTGTCTCTCAAAGAGCATCAGCTGTAAAGGGATATCTTATATTAAGAAAAGATGCCAATGTTGAAGTGCTTCTGCTTCTTATGTGTGAATCAGAATGGGATTTTAACTGGACTACAGGGGATCAGTGAAAGTCCTGCATGCATGCTGTAAGTATATGCTTATGATGAGAGATACGTGTCTGATATGTAGCAGGAAATGTTAGGGATTTTTCAGTTTCGCTGTTAGTTTTGTTTTAGTGATTTTATATTGTTGTGGTATTGCACTTTGAGCAATCTTTTTAATGTCAAATATTCATCCACTGATGCATTAAACCCCACAGACGGTGAGTATTTGACTTTGTCTTTGTCCAGGGCAACATTTCAAATGATTTTGCATTGAGAAAAAAATGAGCCATAATTGTATTTACATGTATCAGTTAATCATGACAATTTGCACCATCAGTTTTAATCATTCTGCATGTTCATCTGCCAGTGCTTTTGAAACTGTTTAGTGGGCGTTCCCTCATGACCAAAATGCTATAAAGTTACTCAAACATCTGAGAAGATATTTCAGGCTGTGTGACGGTGATCATTTTGTAATTATTGTAAGGTACTCTTAAAAACTTTGGTCCCTTTGACTGCTTGGCGGATGACCTGGTTTTATTTGTAATATGGAAATACAGTGTCATCTGCCATGTTTTACCTTCCTATCAGACCTATGCAAACCCTGGCACTGTGCAACACTGTGTCTTCAAATGGAATTCAAATAAACACATGAGAAATAAAAATATGATATTATACACTTTAACTGGTCGTGTTTTGTCATTGTGTGTGTTCATACCAGGATTTAAACACTCCCAGATTCAAGAGCATGCTCAGTAGTAGCTTAGGTCTACTACATTGGCATTGGTCATCAGATAATCCTGTTACACCTCTCAATGTAGCTGCAAGTAGCAATTCATACACACAGGTACAATGGCTTCTACAACACGTAGACAACACTCTGTTAAGTCCTGTGTGTTGGTGTATCTGTCAGTCTCTGTGACGTGTGGTTGACAGCCATTATCCATTATGAGTCTACTGTAAAAACTAGGATGGTGGGGATCACCTGTTCCAATGCTGCCTCTGCCAATGAGCAATTTGAACTGTGACCAACAGTAAGTTATGTAATCAAGGTCTCAAATAGATTAATAAATAAATGTCATGCTTTATAAAACAGGCAGATAATGACACAGTTTGAATATCTATCCAAAGGTTTCACATTCATTCTATCATGGGCAGGTATACAGGTTTATGCAATACTTTTGTTTTGCTTACAGTTTTTGCAGATTTAAGACTTTTTATGCACTCAATAGAAGACAGAAGAAGAAGATATTCTTTATTAATCAAGGGGAAATTATTTTTTTCATTCTGTTGTCATATACACGCAGGCCTGAAATACACACATGTACAAACAGGATCTATACATGCATTAAATGGAAGGATGTCAGAGTGAGGGGGCTGCCTTGGACAGGTGTCCCAAGCAGTTGGGGCTTAAGTGCCTTGGTCAAGGGCATTTCGTCCTCCAGCTATCAGCCCGTGCACCATACTTGGTCTGTATGGGTACCAACGACCCTCTGGTTGTGGTGATTCTTGTGTGTGGCAGGGGGCATGGTTGGCTCTTCCCACTGCAGCTGACAAGGCACACCTGTTCCCACTCAGCTTATCAACCTGCCTACATATACCTGGTCTCCACTCCACTACTCTGCCAGATAATTCTGTCTGTGTCAATAATGCCAGGTGTATGCTTTTCCAGTGTTGCTTCTGTACTGATTTCTTCCTTGTGGTTTTTTGTGCCTTGTGCTTACTTGTGTTTTTGCCATGTTTTCCACGTGCTCAGCCCTCGTGTCATCTCCAGAGATCTGGCTCTCTTTACTGGTGGACAACCACCTAGAACCACCTAAAATGTGCGGTTTGATCACAGAACACAATGCCATACATGTCCCAAGTTTTGAGGGAGCATGCCATTGGCCTTCACAACAGCGCAAGTTGGTTACGATGGAGAGCTGCTGTCAGGTCAAGACCCTGGTGAGACAATGAGCATGCAGATTAGCTTTCCTGGGACAGTTTCTGACTGTTAGTACACAAAATCTAAACATGTGCAAACCAATTTTTGTGTCGGCTGGGTGGCTGGTCCCACATGATCTTGCAGATAAAGACGCTGGATGTGGAAATCCTTGGCTGGTGGGGCTACACGTGGTCTGCAGTTGGGAGGCCATTTCTGCACCAATCTCTTGTGCCTATTTATATAATTAATTAGCACTGCCATTGTAAGTGGGAGGCAATGTAATGAGTTGTTTCTCCATTTGTAGAGATCCATGTTTGCTTGACCTACTTTAGCGCTTACACATTTTGTAAGTTGCTTATACCAACGTATCTGCAAAATAACTAATGAGTTGTGTCTAACAGCTAAATCTAGGCCTGGAGTGGTGGGAAGGATTTTGTCTGACCTTTTCACTTAGTTTCTTGACTTCTATAAAGACAAATAGGGTGTTATTTTTTTTATTTGACATGCCTTCACAGCCAAAGTCTGCAGTCTTCATCAGAGGTGTTGCTCAGCTTCTTTTCAGCTGATTTATTTGTCCAAATGAATCCGTTTTCTGATGTGGACTGCAGGCTTTAGCAGTTGGGACATGTCAGGGAAATAATAACATCCTATTTGTCTGTGTAACAAGTCAAGAAACTATATCTAGGGTGATTGTTATTTATTTTCACAGAAATTGTCACCCATAGATGAATTAGTGCTGTTTCTGATGTACCGGTCTCTGTGCGTGCCTGCCTCTCCCTCTCAGAGATCTTGCCAACCCTTTTGGTATTCACCACACCACAGCCAACAATCACTGCAGCCTGGACGCACTTTCTGTGCTATGTTCTTGGCTCCCTCCGCCTGTGGATACCACCAAAAGAAGTCAAAGCTCACAGTTACCACCAGTTTTCAGCATTCCCTGATACACAAGTGGTGCTTAACCGTACAGTTTTTTTCCTGACTCTCTCCTCTCTCATTTTGCAGAGCAAGGTGATTGCAACATATAAATCACACCACATCCAAGGCCATGATTGGCATTGCACCCAAGGGTCCCATCACCTATGTGTCTGCGCTATATGCAGGTTTTATGAGTGACTGGGAGATTTTCCAGCTATCTGCCATGACCAAACTCCTCACAGCAGACATAGCTATTATGGTGAACAAGTGCTTTCTTGTGCATGTTCCTCATTCCCTGAAAGGTTTATCAACGTGCCTTTCTTTCAAAGAATGCCCAAATGTGTAGGGAGTGTCACAGTCTATTGCTCCTTTCAGAGTCCATGTCAGGAGGTGTATCCTCAGGGTCAAAGAGAACAAACTATTTGACAAACTCATACCATTATCAGTGGCTGAGCTAGCGGCTAGCAGCTAATGGTGCTAACAGCACAATCTGCGCACAATGCTTACAGTGGCAACAGTGCTGACAGAGCTAACGGTGTTTACCTGGGTGGACAGGTGGTTGCTAGTGGTTAACACTGTATGAGCGCAGTGCAGAATGGCGGCAGTTAGTTAGTTACTGGAATACACACACGGGGACTCACATGCACTAACATGCATGGACAGCAGGTCCAATTACAACACGCACAGAGGTAGCGTGATTTGATTTTCTGCTCAGGATGCCATTACTCTAAAATATATTTACATGGTAAAGTTGTTTGCTGCTATTTTGATGTTCTGTATGTCGTATACAGCTCCTTTAAGAAAATGACAGGTGAACAAATAATGGCTTCTTTAGTAAAGAGGATGAAGAGGCACTTTTTAATCATTTCACGTATTCTAATGGCTTATTCTAATGCAAAGTCAAGTGGAAAAAACTGTTTTCAACTCTTTAACTCTTTTTGTACCTTGAAGAAGGCAACAGGGCTAAACCACATCAGATGTTTAAAAAAAATACCCAAAGCCACATGAAGGGTTTTTGTCTGATTGACAAACATCTCTTCATTATAACTTAATCCAGTTTCTTTTTTCTTTTCGTGGTTGAGAAAGAAAAAACAGTTTTTGAGTCTTGTCATTACCCAACACCAACTTCAAAGCATCTGTTGCTGCTTCTCACAGAATTAAACTTGTGTTTAACAATACCATTAAAAAGAGAAAAAAAAGGTAATCTCATTGCACTTTAACGTACAGCCAGTCAGGGGCTGTATCTAATTTGGAGTTTCTGCTGACATGTGTGGGAAACTTGGGTACACTGGAGAACAAATAATAAATCCATGCACCACATCTTTGTTTTATATCTGACTGTCAAAGATGCACAGTGGGCTTTTTTTATAAAGTCTGGGGAACCTTACTTAAAGCACCTACACTCTCATCTTCCATATTACAGGGATTTCCTGAATCAGCTTAGCCAGTCTCTGTACATTGCCTGTAAATCAGTTTTCTTATAATCTTGCCATTT